GAAACAATACTACTATATGAAATTGATTTATTTTAAACTAAATCTTATGAGGTGGGATCATGGATACAAACTGTTGAAGAGTTCCATAATAGGACGAAATAGTTATCCAGTACATTCAGGTTTTCCATGATTGTCTAGCTTCAATTGACCAGTGGTGTTCAACCGGGTCAGTTGTGAGATAGTAACTCACTGATGTAGACAATGATGGATGTGTCGCTTAATTTCGTAGATTAATTGAAGTTAGACATTAACACCATTGGATACCAGCAAGATCAGTGGTCTAGAGGTTAAGCATTCGCACGCTAGACCGATCGGTCTTGGTTCTAAATCTTGCGAGGCTGAATCGTAGATGAGGACTGCTTAGGAGTCTCACAATAGGATGAAACTGCCGTTCAGTAGTTCTAAGTTATACATGGTAGTCTAGCTTCAATTGACTCATAATCTTAACCATTAAAAAATAAGGTTTTTAAATAATTATTCGTTAAGATAATACAACTTTGGATCTCATGTAGCAAAAGTAATTCCTTGTAGATGATAAATGTAATTTACTGACGAGTATCAATTAATGTGAAACTCATGCTGAAGCACGCTGAAATCCCCTTCGTCCTATTTAGGACCCGTCAGTTGGATGTACCTATATCTCAGAGTTGATATTCATTATGGGAATCAAACCCAGTACCGTTCGCTTCAAACGTCATCGAGTTATCCACTAAGATATTGAGTTCTTATAGACACTTGCTTGTGCAATGAGTTGAAGTTTAAATTCACTTGATATTGTTTACCTATTTATATATTTGAGTAGTATAATAAGAAGATGAAGATTATCAGAACTATATGTTAATATAAAAGGTTAGTTACACTAGAAATGAATGCTAAAAAGAAACAAAAAAATAATAATAAAGAAAATAAATATGAAAAGAAAAATACAATATGAAACTCAGTATATTATATAATAAACAAGGATAGATTTATAGTGAGAACAAAACTGTTTTGTTTTGTTCTTCCAAAAGATAAAGAAGGTTTGAAAGTTTCTATAATCAAGAATTTAAATAAAATTTAGTATATACTTTCAATAATTGAGATCATGAGTTAATTGAAGCTAGACCACTATGGAAAACCTGGAAGCACTGGAATGCCATTTCGTCCTACTGTGGGACTCCTCAGCAGTGCGCTTCCACGAACCTGTTTCGCAGGATTCGAACCCAGGACCTATCAGTCTTGCGCGCTAATGCTTAACCTCTAGATCAATGGGCCGGCCGACACCCAGTAGTGTTAATGTCTAACTTCAACTAATCCACGAAATTGAGCGACACATACGCACTGCTGGGTAGTCCCATACTAGGACGAAACGATAGCCCAATGCTTTCAGATTCTCCATGGTGGTCTAGCTTCAAATGATTCATGATTTCAACTGTTGAAATTACTACAATCTCCACAGAACCCCCTCTAATTTAGTACATACCCTTTGAAACTTTTATACAACACTACAAAAGTCATGTTCAAAATTAATCCTATGATCTATTTCAATTATAAACTTAACAATAGAAAACAATGATTGTTTATTATTTACTATGTGACATGGCTCAGAATCGATCACAATGTCGTCAGTGTATATAATCTTTGTTTTCCCTTAAATTATGAGATTAAAATCGCTCCATATCTTTCTTTCTACGTACTAATTCCTCCTTCCTATACTATGTCCTTATATTCAATCTTTCTTTTATATATTACTATCATTGAAGGAACTCTTCTAATGAATTTGGTGTTTATCTTGATGTGCTAATGAGGTGTGGCAACTTGAACCGATGCATATATGTGCCTAGTCCTACGTTGTAGTTGACTAACTGACTGACTTATTTACTTTCGCAATGTATATATGATATTTAGATAGAATTTAATCGATATGAACAAAAATATGATATTAGTATTTGAAAGGAATTTTTTGTGGATATTATAATCATTTTAATAGTTGAAATCATGAGTCAATTGAAGTTAGATTACTATGGAAAACATGGAAGTACTGGATGGCTGTTTCGTCCTAGTGTGAGATTCTTCAGTAGTGTTATAAATTACAATCTGAAGTGAATAGTGATATGATGGGATTGAAAAGAGAAGAAAGAAAAAAAAGAAAATTAGATTCTTTTATACATTTTGATACTTGGTCAATAGTATTTCCGTTTAAATTCAATATGATAATTATTTTCTTCTGTAAAATATACGATATTCTTGTATTAAACATGAACATGAACTTGGCTCAGCATGCAATTTTGTTATAACCCTGAGCATGTCTCATATATACGATTTCAATCCATTAAATGGGTGTACAATCAAATATATAAATGAGTGTATTTTCGATTAAGGTCGTCGTCGTTGTTGTTGCCATCGTGTTCAAGGGTTACTAGTAGAGTTTAGGAGCCAAATCTAGCGTTCAATCATAAAACATATAAGTGATGACGAAAGAAAATCGCAATGAATATTTCTTTAGAGTAACTAGAAGCTTATATGGAACGTCGAAAGAAGTGATTTGAACAGGTTCAAATCAGAATTATGGAGGCTCTTATGCAAAAAATGTGCCTGTCTTAGCAAAACTCCGCTTCTGATGAATTTTAAGTATCACATATTGATTCAGTCAATAACGTAACCCATGAATTGAATTTTGATGATGAAGCAAGTGTTACTTTTGACTCGTGGTTCAAGAAATATAAAGATCTATTCCATATTGATCTCTGCAAACCGGATGACGTCTTAAAAGTCAGAATACATTTAAGAAATTTTGAGTTGACGGAACATTAACGCTGTAGAAACTTTAAATACCGAAAGAACTCACGGACTTTAGTTTTGATGAAACAATTAAAACCCTGTCTGAAATCTTCGGAGAACAGTCATCTCTATTTAATATCCGTTACCAGTGACTGAAGATAACGAAAGAACCAGAAGATGACTGGGTAAACAAAGCGAGAATCGTGAACCGAGAACGTGAAAAGTTTAGAAATCATCGTTGTACTACGTGTTCCAAAAGAGGGCACAAGGAAAGCAATTGCAAAACCCGAAAACGCCATCAACCGAAAGTGTATTCTAAAAGATTCAAGACGCGAAAAGCTAAAGTAACGGTAGTTCTTAACAGACCTGGCTTCCATAATGGGTATGATACCCGCTTACAGTTGGACACAGCTTCCAATCTGACACTTATACGCAGTAATTTAAATGAAACAGTAGCGGTCATACATGATACGCCCATCCGTCCAGTAATATCCAACTCAGAGACATGATTTGTAGTCAGTTCAAATCCCATTATCTCCGAAACAGAATGTATAAGCAGTGGCTTACCCAGCTCACAGAAAGACAGTGTCTTGTTAAACGTTCGTGAAACTGAAAATAAACCGAATAGCATAATGAATACAGTTGCACCAAATGGGATTCATCTTTCTTTATGGTGAAACTACCTATCGCGATTATCTATTTGTTTCGCTAGATGATGGGATTTCTTATAAAAATCATAATCGAAAACCAATTTTGAAAGATTCTGATTTTCCTAGTGATCCATTATCTAATGATGAGATTCTCAATAAGTTTGATGACAATATTCCTTGATGATCTCAAATCAAACGTCGTTAATTCTCATCATCTAGTCACTTCCAGCAGATTCTCTATTCAATACGGTAAACATGTTTAAATAAAGTCACATTAATTGTAACTTGAGGATACAAGGATCCAACATTATTTCTTAGGGGAGGATAAAGTCAGGATCTAGACTTTTAGTCTTCAAAAAAAAAGAAAAGAAAAGAGTGGAAGGTGATATAACACAAAGAAAAGTCAAAATCAAAATTATTTTACTCATTATGCTTTTTGTTCACCAGTACTTCCGTTCTGTATAATATAACGATATTCTTGTATTAAACATGAATATGAACTAAGCTCAGCATGACATACACTATGTGATTTTTGTTAGAACATTTTGTAGACCTGAATCTAATTCTATTCGGATTATATAATTGATTGTTATCTGAAATATAAATGTCTACATCTATTCTCGTATAAAAATTATCGACTTAATCTATATTAGTGAATAATGGAATGGATTTTTGAATATGTATATATTGTACACTCATTGATTTGGATAGCTAATCAGAGAAACGAAGTAAACAACATCAAGTGAATTTAAATTTCATCCCATTGCACAATCAGGTAACTATCAGGACTCAGTAGCTAAGTGCATAACGTAAAGGCGTTTGAAGCAATCGGTACTTGGTTCAAGTCCCAGAGTGGACATCAACTCTGAGATGCAGGTACATCCAGTTGATGAAGTCCAACTAGGACGAAGTGGCGTGTTTCCTGGATTCCACTGCTAGCCACCATTTATCTTAAGATAATATCGAGACAATATGCATATATGCCAATAAAAGAAACTGATCAATTGCAATCCTAAACATCAATGAGAAGATTCAATCCAACAAGACCAAGTGAATTTATTGTATGAAAATCGACAATCTTTTCTTTTATCAAAAAAAAAAGACAAATATAATATAAACAAAACAAGTGTTTATGAACACGTAAATAATCCAATTAAAAAATCAATAAACCATTTCACTACAATAATGAATGAAAAAGAGAATAAATAAATTCCATTTATTCAATTGACACAAAATTTTGTTGTTGTTGTTGTTGTTGTTATACAGATTAGATAATCATAAAGTGAGCGTGTTTATGGATCTGTGTAAATTTAGAATAAGTCTATAAAATATATTCATACATAATTCCTAGGTATTAATTTGTCTATCTATCTACATATCTACCTACCTACCTACCCACCTATCTATCTATCTATCTATTTACCCATATATATATATATATATATATATATATATATATATAGAGAGAGAGAGAGAGAGATGGTGGGGAAGATTTTTATCTCAGGTGGATGATTTTAGTGCAGTTTCGTTCTCTGAGCTACGAACTTTCTACACCATCTCGCTCTCTCCCTTTGTATATATATATATATATATATATATATATATATATATATTCACTAGCTATTCCCAAGTTATATAAAACTTTTTTTCCCATAATCAAGTATTCAACAGTTAGTTTTATGAAAAGAAAAATAAAAGAAAACAAATCTTAAGAGAATAAAAAAACAACCGTTGTAAAATATTGTTTACTAATTCAATACCATTGTTGATTGACCAAAATTTCATAGAATAGAAATAGAAATAATAGTCAGTGGAAAACAAAATAAAAAACAATACAATGATCAACGAGATAACTAGTCTACTTTAAATATACAATGTGTAAACTTACAGAGATTTATATAATCAAACGTTGAGTTTACATGTTACTTACATTCTTACGCCTATTACTCCTCGTGGAGGAGCATAGACTGATCAACATCACACTCCATCCAATCCTGTCCTAGGCGATCCTCTCCAGTTCGTTTCAGTTGTTATTCATTCTTTTCATATCTGCTTCTATTTATCGACATAATGTCATCTTTGGCCTTTCGCTTTTCCGCTTCCTTTCAGAATTACAAGTTAGGGCTTGTCTCGTGATGCAGTTTGGTGATTTCCGTAATGTATGTCCTATCCATTTCCATTGTCTTTTCTTAATTTCCTATTCAGCAGGAAGGTGTTTTGTTCTCTTCCACAGTAGGCTGTTGTTGAGTTTACATGTGGAAATAATAAATCAAAATGACCATTTTCTCTTTCATACACTGTATAATACAACAATAGGAAAGAGTTATGTAATATTTATTACGAGAAGTTATAAAGTATTTACATAATACGCATAGATAGTCTTCAACAGTACATTTACAACTTCCGGTGTATTCTGCATTCTGAACTATCTTCATGATTGGCCCCTAAAATGTTCTGACTACGCTGTACTTTCGATGCACCAAAAAATTTTATATCTATCCAATAATTGTTGAAACTTCTATATCACTTTAGTGGCCCGGGATCTAACTCCGTGAGATCATTACTAATTGCTATTGAGATATACATAGCGTCAATCCTCGTATATAATTATCGACTTGGATCGCGTTAGTGAATAACAGAAAAGAGAGATTAAAACGACGCGCAGTGGAGAATACATGTGAGCCAACTTTCATTTAGTCAAGTGTTAATCATCATATATAGTCACACAAAAATAAGCTATAAACATGTGATGAATAGGTTAAGAAGAGCATACAATATACGCTTACATAAAATCAGTCAAGGTTGATAAGTGAATAATTAACAAGGTCAAAAAGTAACTCAAGTAGAATGAATATATTGGCCTATCCGAAAGCTAGAATAAGGTGTATGGGCTTAACATAACACTACACTACATCCTTCTATACACTACTTACAAACATGCTTGTGAGTAGCATCATTAGCGTAACTTTACAAATCGTGATATTCCCAGGAAAACTTCTTATCAATTAAAACGAATAGCTTTAAAATTTCAATTTTATTTGAATAAATCACACTCCAAAATTAAGCTTTCATAACTAAATAAATATTGATTAGTCAATTTGTTAAAATAAGTAGTATAAACAAATTTAATCGAAAATAAACCGAAACATTCACCATATAGAATAACATAAATATTCCAAGAACTCGATAATTCAAAAACAATTAAACTTCACCCCATTACACAATCAGGTGGCTATCAAGACTCACCAGCTAAGTGGATAACGCAATGGCGTTTGGAGCAAAAGGTACTGCGTTAAAGTCACGGAGTGAACGTCAACTCTGATATACAGGTATATCCAGCTGAATAGTCCCAAACCAGACGAAACGTGCGTTTTGGATTCCACTGCTAGCCACTACTCATTTTTGATTGCAAAGCTTGTAATTTTAAGGGAATTGTTATAAAATTTAGGCATTCAGAAATTGAAGATGACTTATGGATATTATAGAATAAAGCGATTCACTGAACTGAACTAAAATTTAAACTCAACAGTTGGCACAAAATATACGGTAATCTCATTCAGCTTACGAAGAAACGGTAATGGAAATACTTTGTGAGATCAAAAATTTCTGTTTTTTGGCTTAACTGCTTTTTATCTTCACTTCTAAGTTGGCCATTTCTATCAATCTTCAAGTAACCCAATAAATAGGCAAGATTATATCTATTAGTACTATGGTTACTTCATGCCTAAATTATACCCTAACCTGATCATCCTATGCAAATTGCCTACATTCTCTCTGGAAATATATACAACATCTTAACTACTTATGGATAAAACTGTGTTTGAAAACATCTCATACAATGAAATCGAATAGCCCAACTCGTCTCACAGAAATCTGAATCAAGATCTTTCAACGAAATCGTTGAGATTATTACTTATATAACACAAAAACCAACAGACTTCCCAAGATATTCTCTATGAAATAAATAAGTTACTCTTATTTCATTTACCTTCAAGAGCCATGTTTCATTATTGCCGTCTAATTTAAATGAGATTACTGATGTACAATGGATTGTTTTCGGATTGCATTATGATAAGCGGTAGTGTAATGCTAAACCTTAACCAGAAAGTACACAAACAAAGTTCATTTTTCAATATCAATATAACTCATCAATGATTCTAAATCTAAAAAACAGGCGAACACATCAACTAACTCAAAACACTCATTGTTACTTTGGCAAAATATCAAGATACATCTCACATTGTTCCAAGACAAACTTTCCAGTGTGAATTAACGGATAGAATGATGAATAAAGGGTTGCATGTAAGAGAATTTATTGGACTCTATTCAAGCATAAACGCACTCTCAACTGCGCCACAGGGACTACCCAGAGATTCCATATATACCTACCTACTTATAACACATCACAACACTCAAACTACACATGTTCGCAACTGATAAAGCTCAACTACAATCATAATATCCGCAACAGCAACAACAAAAACATACTAACACCACGAGAACACTAAAATTAGCACAAACATCCTCTACTGTCAACAACTCACAACCTCTATTTTCACTAGATCAATCAACATCCAATAAATGTATAGTGAACGAGTTACTGCTTGACAAAAACTAACCACGACCATATGCTGTTATGATGAATAAACACTCACATTATTAAAGAGAGAATCGCTGCAGATACGCGACCGATGAATGACACCATCTTTTCAAGATTCTCATCTATGAACCAGGACAATTCCGGACTGCTTATGTATTAGTCTATCATCCCAAGAAGATGAAGGATCTTCATTCAGTAGAATTATGACTCCTCATGATAAAAGCCCAGACTCTTCGAAAGTCATGAAGCCGATTACCTTTATAAAAACCACAGCAACAATTATCAAAGGTACATGGAATGTCAGCACAATGTGGGAGACAGGGAAGACCGATCAGAAACAACATCACAGTTATCGGAATGACTGGAACCCACTCCACACAAACTGGACAGAAAAAAATAGATTCGGGAGAGATGCTATTGCACACTAGCCACGAAGAGGAAGATGTTTCACATACACGAGTTGCACTGATGCAGTCCAAAGAGCACGAAGAACACTTTTAGGGTGAGAATCTCATGGATCCAACAGAGTGATCAGTCATGGATAAAGAAGACAAGCCAATCATTAAAACTCAAGATCACGGGGACAGATGGATAGAGCACTCTGAAGAACTCTTGAATAGGTCAGTCCCCCTGAACCTACAAAAGAAGGATACCTCATCAAGACACCATAGAAAGATCTGAGAAAATGTGGAAACTCGGCAACAGAGGCATCAAACAATTATCAGTACCACGAAACGTTTCCAGCAGATTGTTACTTAACCAGATGGAAGATTCAGCAGACGCCCAACTTCAAGATCATCTGGCCGGATTCCGTAAGGATAGGTCGTGCATAGACCAAATAGCGACACGAACAATCGTCGTTGAGCAATCAATTGGATAGAACTAGTTACCATACATCAACTTCCTCGACTATGAGAAAGCGTTTGACAGTGAATGAAGGGGGACCTTATGGAACCTTCTACTTTATGGTGTACCTCAGAAAATCGTCAACATGGTACGGAACTCATACGACGAATCAAACTGCAAAGTCGTGCATGGATAACAGCTCGCAGATGCCTTCTGAGTGCGAACCGCTGGCAGACAAGGCTGGCAACTTACTGATTCTCTTTCACCTGGTGGTTGGCTGGATTATGTAGACCTCCACATGACAGGGGAAGCACAAAATACAATAGAGAGCTTGCACGCAACTAGACGATTTAGTGATAGTCTGAGCTTTTCAACCTTATAATTTGATCACACCATGACACCCTCTCCACTACCAACCAGATATAACCTCTATTATTTCATTCTGTTCCTAAAATGTAAAATAATTTAGCGGAAATGACGCTTAGACGATATGTAAATGACAGAGTTGAAGAATCTAACTTCTAAGGACTTTCAGAAATGTTTTAAACAATGAAATTAAAAATGTGATAAATATCTACTGATGAAATGTTGAGTGTGATGCAATTTTTTTCAATAGTCCATAAATGTGGCCTTTTATTCACCACTAACTAACTATTGATAGAAATTTCTTGATTGACAAATTTCAACTGATTAACTACGACCGCAGTTACTCATCAGTTCTGGACTGAAAGTGAACCGATTCGGTACAGATTAATGGCCTGTCATATTTATTTAGCATGTTAGTTTCCAAGTTATTCATTCATTTGGACACAGACAGTGGTACAAAGAGGCACTAAATATATATGGGCCAAACTTCGTCATTTGATTTGTGTGAGGAATGGAATACTGTCCAAGTGCCCAAATTGAAGCAGATTGTTTTATTAGAGAGCCACTACTCTCCAAGCCTTTGACCTAAAGGTCTAATTCACAAGGCAATGGAGCAATGTCAGGAGATACTGTTCCATGGTAGCCGGTAACCAACAATAGGTTCATAGGCCATTTATCCCTTCAGGATACTGGAGCCCATATGAACCACTGATCTGAAATCAGGGTTTTCCAACTCCCCTAGATGGATCCCCCATGTCCATCAACCCGAGTCAAGCGCCGGATATAAACAACACCCCCACTTCGTGAAGGTAGTGAGTAGGACTTCCCTGAAAGCGGCTGCATATGCGTGACCGTGCGAGAGCATTTCGACAAGGAAACCTAACTTCCCACTCCATTCACGGCTTTACCGTGGCATCTATAATAATCAAATAATGGCACATAGAAATTACTAATAAGTACTTTAATGCAATAATAATAATAATAATAATAATAATAATAATAGTAATAGTAAGAAGACGAATAAGTATAATAAATTACATATGAAAAATAACAAATTGACAAATATAAAGAAAAATAAATGCATGCTTTGGAATGCAAATCGAACTGTATATTTACACAAATACTACTGATACTGTTACATAATATTATGATGACAATATCTATATATGAGTACGTTGTTCTTTAAATAAACTATACGAAAGCAACTCATTATCATTATTGTTGAGTTAGTAGGATTTATCGATATGATTGAATTTTACCAGGTACATTCAATAACAAATCCAAGGTTGTTATAAAAGCATCTGCGCCTAGGAAAGATTGATTCCCTCGAGAAGTTCACAAGAAAAAGAAGTGTTGTAATGTGTTTTAACTAATGAGACTGAGATATTATTTTGTCAATGTCCAATGATTGCAAATTTAAAATCTATTAGGGATTTCAAAAATAAAAAAGGTGGGAATTAATATTAGTAGTGAAAGATGATCTTAGTTGAACAACCACTGAAAGCCAAGAAACCCTTGAAAGCTGTTCTGTTGTAATAAAGGCGACTTTATTAGTCCCCAAAGACGATCCTATCGTAATCGACCCTACAGATATCTGGTATCACGACGAGAGCTTAAAATTTTGACAATTGACGTGATATCTATCGATATCCATGTGTTAATTCAAATCAATTTCTAGTATTGTCCAACTATCTTCTAATACCACAATTGGAGGGTGACTGCCTTACAGCTGACACAGCTGAATCCTACTAGTCCATACTAAGACAAAAAAACTAACCAGTATTTCTTCCTTTCTAACAGTTGTCCCATGATGTGAACTATGAAATCTAACAATATTTACAAATGAAAGATGTCAATGATATATGTTTGTTTTTATATGAATAGGGTCAATAATGAACAGAAGTAAATTAAACACTTTTAATTAACTTGTTCAAGAATCATTATTAACCATTATATACAGTAGCAATAAGCTGCAGAAAAGTTTACAGATTGTCTATAAATTCATTTATCATTAATTATGTCTTCTATACTCACTATTTCGTTTTTATTAAATGTCTTTTTATCATGGTATGGGATTGTATAGCGTGTAACTGAACTGGAACTCAATGATCTAAATACTATGCATCTACTAAGAGATGCGTGCTATATCCCTTTTAGAGTGATCATTTGTGAGTATTGATTGGAAGACCCACATACTCAAAGTAGCTTTCAGTCAAATTAACCAAATTCAGTTACTTATATGTGATCATAGATGTTTTTGAAGCATTGCCCATATATGGTACAGCAACTGAGTAAGCGACCATGAGAGATGAAATAAAAATGGCAAATTGGTAAATGGGACTATGAATCTTCATTGACTAATGTGACTGAAACATGCCAAGCGACTCACGATTTATGGCGTGCAGTAGTGACTAGCATAGTAGGTTCTAAGCTATGAGAGACCATATCAGAAGGTGAAGTCAGTACACAAATTCATTGATTCCTAGTCTGAGCAGTGTTATTAAGTGCAGACTAGCTGGTTATTATCAGTGTGACAGTTACAATCAGTAGCTGATGCTGACTGGTACAGATGAAAATCAATCCGAATAGTGTAGATGAATTATACATTTATTTCCCTTTGAGTTCGCAGCTTTGATACTATTTCATACATTTTATTCTAGGAATTCATTCAATCCATTAAAATCATATTCTTTCTGTTCAATTACTTTTGTTCTGATTATTAATGCTATTTACTCTGACTCTCTCGATATTCGTCGGTACTCTCACTGGTGTGGATGTGGTGTGGTAATTTAAGTCGATGGATATTTGTGTACCAAGTCTCAGGTTCATGACAAATGAATGATTCAGATACTTCAAAATTATTCTAGATACATATTTTAAGGGATGATTTTACTTGTCTTATTACAAACACACAACATACTGTCGAATATCTTGATGGGCGGTTACTTTTGGTGGTCCAATCAAAGAACATAAAACTATTTTTCATGGCAAAATTACTTACACTAGTTCCTTCATCATGAGTGAACTACATGACAGGATATTAACAATGTTCAAATAAATTCCAATAATCTTTTATAACTACTAGTTACAATTATTTCAGTGGACACTCCAAACAAGTTGGCTTTGATCAGCGGTTTGTGATTTCTTAGATTGATACTATGTAATGATTTATCCAACCTATTGTTATGATACACAATATCATACTTCAAAGTAAGTGTCATTGAGCATACAATATAAATCATATAAAGAGTTTTCTTAACATGATTAACCATTGTACTAACTACTACTATTTCTCCTAATAGTAAATTTTTGATTGAGAGATCATGAACTGATTGATGTTAGACCACCGTTGGAAACCTGGAAGCACTGGACGGCCGTTTTGTCCTATTGTGGGACTTCTCTACAGTGAGCATCCATGATCCCGCTCAAGGGATTGTACCCAGGGCCTTCAGTCTCGCGCGTGAACACTTAACCTACTGGACCACTGAGCCGGCATCCAATGGTGTTAGTGTCTAACATCAACCAGCGACCGTCTCTCATTGTGCTGAGGTAGATACCTGTCTCTAACAGACACGGATTAGCTCCACTGGTCACGGCTTCTCACTAAAACTCCGAGAATTCCCTCAGTAAATTGTTTAGAATATTAAATAAAAAACAAAATAACAACAAATTCATACAACAATTCAATTCGAAATTGCAATACTTACCTTCTTTCGTACACCACGCTACAATTAAAAACATAGGAAAACATAGTATTTGAATGAAATAGGAATTTATGATAGGAACTTATGATAAAAAATGACCAACTTCTCAAACTTACTACTATAAGTAGTAACAGTCTCAATGATAAATAAGTGTATAGAAAAATCTCAATTTTTCTCAAATCATAATGCGGAAGAATGTCTATAAGTAAAAAAACTAAAGTTCTAATGTTACATACATGACTGTACAATTTTGATGTGAACATAGAAACAAAAATGTCATGACAAACAACGGAAGCTATTTTGGAGGACATTATTTCACTGAACTCAAGGTTTGCGAAATACTAACATTCAGTTTCATTCCTACATTATTTTACAAACCATAAGATTTCGTTTGATGTATGATTCATTGTCATACCCTTTTCTGTTCCAGAGCTATGTAATTTGGTATTTTATTTCGCTACTCTAATGGCAAGTTTGGACATGATTGTATTTTTCTAATTGTTAGTGCGTTGTGGTTATGTTAGTCATCCATTTATTTATGTATCTTATACAGTTATGGTCCAAAGGTTAAGCGTTCATGCGCGCGAAACCGAACACCTCGGGTTCGAATCCCGCATGCAAGATCTTGAATGCGCATTGTTGAACGAAAAGGTCGTCCAGTGCTCAGACGTTTTCAATGGTGATTTAACATTGATCAGTTAATAGTCTCAATTAAAACTCAACAATCTCTAGAACTCTATACTGATACTTCCCCGATCTATTTGAAACTGCTGTTTGAAGCAATTACGAGTTCACCTAGTCTGAGAACGGAACAAAGGCTCTGTGACCAAAAACCAATAAGCTAGCTATTTTGATGCGTCCCAGTACCGCTAAATAGAGAGAAAAGTCCAAGTTCGAACGGGGAAATATATTCCGCAAGCAGCCAGAAGCACGAGCGATAACAACAGGCACAAATCGAACATATATACAGCATAAGACTGTCCTTAGAAAGCGTTACAAAATAGCATACTAAAAGATACCACGAACCAATAACGTTTAAGATTCTTGCAAGAGGGGAAATACGACATAAAAGTGAAAATTGCACTCTTGGTGCGAAAATAAAGAAGTTCAAATTTTCAAAATAAAATTACAAAAACAAGGCAGTTAACAAGTGAGTTCTGGGAATTTAATATCCCCAACAGAAACAGTAGAGTTTACCAAAACATAAAACATATCAATAATCGGTCTTATTTTGTTGTTTTTTTTTTAATAATTCGTAAAATCTTTTTAAATTATTCTGATATTTTTTTCATGTAGATCTAATGATTTGTTGAAGATTTTGTTTATCTGATTAGTTATTTCTCAAATTCCATAAAATTTTGATAAGATCCTTTTATGGAGCTTAGATGTTTCTTGAAACGATAGAAAATTTCACGAAATAAATCATCTATACAGAAAGTATCATATTCGGCACAGCTTAATTTATAGACGTCTACAGTGTATCATTGGCAAAATCATAATTAATTAGATAACTAAATATGTTATAAAAATGTCTGATGATAGAATTATTCCTCAAAAAAAAAAGCACAATTTCATTACGATAATCTTATCATTTAACATGTATTGAAAAAAATATAGTAAAGTTAAGTAAAATTAATGGATTGGAAAACAAATGATCACTACAGTTGATGGTTAAGGTTAGGAATGAGATTTAGGGTTTTCATCACGAAACCCTATTTAGCCAAATGGATGAGGGAATTTTACTCCAAAATCCAAGACCTGTTATCTTATACCTGATTGGTTCGTCCATTAATTGTAGTCTCGCCCATACATCTTTACCAGAAGAAATACTTCCGAAGATTTATTATTTTCAAGAAAATAATAATTATATACGTATGATGTTGAACGGTAGAAGGTTATTGACTAGAAGTTCAATATCTACGTCTTATGTTAGCTGATCCTGCTTACTAAAGTATATATCTACTACTTCCTTTTCTAGACTATATATCCGTCACAGATGGATCTCACTTAACATAACATTCAAAACACAAGAAATACTCCATAACTACTTCAATTCTAGTTTGACACTTCTTAACAATGTCCACCCAAAGGCCAGTTAGAAATCGAACACAGGACATTCAGATCGTAGGGCAAATACCTAACCATTATAGAGATCAATGCGTTATCATCATCTTAGCATACAGTTCAAAGCTCAATCATCTGACATTCATTTAAAAATCACAATAAAGAGATATACATATAAGAAGAAGAGAATAACATCATCAACTTACTTGAACAATAAGTGCCGGTGTTGGTGGACGATTTTCTTTTGCATCAATTAACAATGAACTCTTTGAATAACACCTATTACTATTATTATCACCAATTTTGATAGTTTGTATATAATCACCACTTATACCAGTAGTGATAACAGCAGCAGTGACAACAACATCAGTAGTCGATCCAGTGTTATTATTATTACTACTACTACTACTGCTACTACTAGCAGTAGTAGTAGTTGTAGTTGTACATGTACTAATAGTATTACAAGAAAGATTAACAAAAGCTTTCGAAGTTATATTGCTGTCGGTAGGCATTGTTATTGTAGATAATGTTGTATTAATTAAAGTATTATTCATAATAAATGGTGTTAAATTTGAATTATAATTGACAGGTATCAAATTTATCAGAGAATTATTATTTAAATCAACATAATTAACATGATTCTCAATTGTGGATGATGATGATGATAATAAATTATGATTATTGTTTGTTGTATAAAAAGTAATTGGATTATTGTAATTATTGTCATTAGTGATAGTTATACCCGTATTATTATTATTATTCTGTGTAATTTGACGCAAATCAATAATTGATAAAGGATTATTTAATAAATATGCTGTCATACATGTATTTGTAGCATTACTAATTACAGTTTGAGCATTTGAATTCTGTGGAATTGAATAATAACAAGAAGGTGATGATAATAGATAAGTGGATTGGAGATGAGAATCATTTGAATGATGTTGAAATGAATCTTTATTAGTATTTCCTTTTGAGTTATCATTGAAAAAAAAAGAAGTTAACAAATGAATTTAAGTTAGAATAAAAAGAATAGTTAGGCAATTTTAAGTACATAATAACGATTTGATTAAACAAACTTAACATGATACTACAACGCTGAGTAATATAATTGATAAATCTTGCTAACATTGATATCTATTAACCATCTTCCTACTAGTCGGTTTCGATATTCCCAACTATTTCTACATGTCAACTAGAATAATAGAGAGAAAGCGTGAATTACAAGTAAGATCTTTACTCCAAGATTGGTTGATGTAGAGAAAAACGAGAGTATTTATAAAGTAATATACGCCCTTAGACCCTCGGAAGTTTCTAGAACCATGCTAAATATAATAGCAGTATAAGTAAATATTCAATCAAAACTGTGACACATGATTCCTCATTTTTCAGGTGTTTCTGCAAAGATTCTATCAAACGCCGATGAGATAAAATATTCCTTAGTGTTAATGATTCTCTAAGAACTTCGACGTGGGACTTCAACAACAACGAAATCGATCTATGTAGCAGTTATATGACTGACCATTTCGAATTTCTAACTAATCCATTATTTAAAGCTACCCCAATTCGCACCCACTTTCGGCTTATTTACATATAATTGTTATCATCATCTTCATGAAGAATGGGACACTGACTATGTATGTCTAATGATTATTAACAAGTAAAAAATAACTTCAACTAACTAGAAGTGAATATCAGTAGTTGAAATTCATGAATTCAAATGATCACTAGTCACCGATGGCACATTTCCATCCCAAGAGGATTGACTTCATATGGAATTACGTAATATGTTCCAGATTGTATACACATGCCAGAGTAAACATCAACAATTAAATGCAGATTAATTCAGTAAACGAAGTTCCAAACAGAATGAAACGTCATGGATTACACAGTTAAATACAATAAAATTTGTGACTGAATAAAATAGTTGGCTGGCACCATTTTCTATGGTTCAATATTTTCACTACATAAGTTTGATTTAAATTATCTTGGAAACCTATTCTTTATTTGAATTAATTAATTCTAATTCATATATTCACAATTCATTCCGTCCCTTTCAAAAATATTATTTCAATATTCAGTTTTCTCATTATAATTGCTACTGTTCATATCACGATTCCATTCATGTCAGTTATCGCTTATTGTCAAGTTGATGTGATATTCATTATTATTATTTTTTATTATTATTAGTGGTTTTATTCAATATTATATTTTTGGTACAATATCAAATTCTCAGCACAAAGTATTTCAACAAGTTTCCCTTTCTTATTTCTTGATCAGTTTCTTGCGATTAGTATAGAGTGTTCGCCCGTTAGATGTTAGCGGTTCAGGAATCAACATCTGATAAATGTATATCCTTTTCGATGCATATTGCCAGTAACCATAATGTCTCTGATTGAGCTCTTTTGTAACTTGTACAGTGAAATGTTGTAAACTTTTCACAAAGGCACCTGAATAGATTATGAGACTAATAGGCATAGTGATGTGTTAAAACAAACAAGAAAACAGATAACTTGTTGAAATATCCAGATGGCAGGAACAGGTAGCCCAGATACTCAAGCACGACTTGGGTTAATTTTTATGACGAAATGAATGTTGTAAATTGGAACCGGTTTTGAAATATTATTAATTATCGTTTCGCTGTATAATTACTAAGTAAATGGACTTATATATATATATATATATATATATATATATATATATATATATATATATATATATTCCATTTATCATAAGCTTTCGGTTCACCTATAATCTACGGTTATATGACTTGCTATTTTGAACTAATTAGTTTCCTCTAATCACACCCACATTTGGCTTATTTACATATAGTTGCTATTTTTCATTTGGTAGAGTAATGCGGTCCGGTATCTCAGTGTTTTAACCACAATTGTTTGAAATATAAATACCATTGACTTTGGGACTCAACACAGAGCATAGAGAGGCTTGAGAACAACGAACCAATAGGGACATAGTTGCGTTGACTTAAGGTCAATAGTGCTAGTCAAGCGTGTAACCGATGCCCTGGTACGGCCAAGAGAGGGGAGAGTCAGCCCTCCATCTTGAAATGCTCTCATATGGCCACATGCGTACAACCACTGCCAGGGAAGTCATACTCACTGCCTTCTCACGCACCAGTGTTGTTTACGAAATTGGGAGGACGAAAAGCGATCGTTCGGAGCTTTAACTGGGTTGGTGGATATGGAGGATCCATCTAGGGGAGTTGGAAAACCCTGATTTCAGATCAATGGTTCATATGGGCTCCAGTATCCTGAAGGGATAAATGGCCTATGAACCTATTGTTGGTTACCGGCTACCATGGAACAGTATCTCCTGACATTGCTCCACTGCCTTGTAAATTAAACCTTTAGGTCAAAGGCTTGGAGAGTAGTGGCTCTCTAATAAAACTACCTGCTTCAGTTTGGGAACCCGGACAGCCCCCAAATGCCCTGGTACGGCCGAGAGTGGGGAGAGTCCGCTCTCCCTCTCGAAATGCTCTCACATGGTCATGCGTATATAGCCTCTGCCAGGGAAGTCCTACTCACTGCCTTCTAGTCCCGGGGGTGTTGTTTACAAAAATGAGAGGACGAAAAGCGAATGTCCGGAGCTTTAACCGGATCCCAAACCAATGGTGCACATGGGCTCCAGTATCCTGAAGGAACAAATGGCGTATGAACCAGTCGTTGGTCACCGGCTACCATGGGACTGCATCTCCTTACGATGCTCCACTGTCTTGTGGATCAGATGTTCAGGTCAAAGGCTCGGGGTGTGGCCCCCTAAGACAACCACCTGCTTCGGTTTGGGCACCCAGGCAGTATCACAGCCCTCACACAAATCAATTGAGATTTGTGTGGCGCATATGTATTTGGTGCCTCCCTGTACCTATACTTATGTGTTAAAATAAATAAATAATAATAATAAATGGGAACCCGGACAGTATTCCAGTCTTCATACAAATCGAATGACAAAGTTTGGCCCATATATATTTAGTGGCTCTTTGTATCAATATCTATGTGTTTAGATAAATAAATCATTTAGCTGTACAGATGTTGTGGTGCAGTAACAACTTCGATCAACAGACATTTATAAATCAGATTCTATGTTATACCTTTTTCTTTATTTATTTTTATTTTAACACATAGGTATTGGTACAAGGAGGTACCAAATACATATGCGCCACACAAATCTCATTTGATATGTGTGAGGGCTGTGATAATGCCCGGATGCCCAAACCGAAGCATGTGGTTTTCTTAGGGGGCCACACCCCGAGCCGTCGACCTGAACGTCTGATCCACAAGACAGTGGAGCATCGTAAGGAGATGCAGTCCCATAGTAGCCGGTGATCAACGATTGGTTCATACACCATTTGTTCCTTCAGGATACTGGAGCCCATGTGCACCATTGATTTGGGATCCGGTTAGAGCGCCGGACATTCGCTTTTCGTCCTCTCATTTTCGTAAACAACACCCCCGCCACGTGAAGGCAGTGAGTAGGACTTCCCTGGCAGAGGCTATATACGCATGACCATGTGAGAGCATTTCGAGAGGGAGAGCGGACTCTCCCCACTCTCGGCCGTACCAGGGCATTTGGGGGGGTTATACCTAGCCATGACTGAGTGACTGAAATAGAATCATTTGATTCATAAGGAAATACAATCACTGAAAAACCAAATACAAACATTGTACCTTTAAACAATTTACAACTTGGCAAATTTTCATAAAATAATTTATCATTCTGTTCATTGACATGATTTTTCTTTGAATCTGGTGTAATTAAAATTGGTGGTAAATTATTATTAGTATTAATATTCATAGTACTATTATTGATATTATTTACATGACCAGAATGACGTATACATTGACGTTTACTTGGAAAATTTTGTGAATTATTATTAACTAACTGACTGAAACAAAATGGTGATGAAGATGATGACGATAATGATGTAATCAACCTCTTACAGTCATTATGAACAAGATGTTGATTAGTAACCGTAGAAGTAGTAATTGTAATAGGAGTCTTCATCATCAATTTGGTATCACGTATGCTAGGAATAATAAGAGACCCATTATTATTATTATTATTATTATTATTATTATTATTGTTATTATTATTATTACTATTATTATTATTACTAACATCATCATTGTTACTATTGTTCTCAGTATTGTTACATAATAGTGTAGATAAAGATAATTTTGGTGAATTAGGATGAAATACGTCAGAAGTGCTTGTTATTGTCGCTGAAGTAATAGGCATTGTTAGTATTCTATCATTGACGGTGATATTAGTTGCACAGTTTGATAATGATGATGAAGGAGACAATATCAATTCGTGAGATACATTGCTAGGACCTGAGGTAACAATATCATTTGATGTTGTTGTTGTTACAGGAGACGATTGATGAGAACATTGATTAATATCGATTAGTGTTTCAATTATTGTTGTATTATTAATATTTTGGTTGGGAATCGTAGAACTCACAGTTGAAGTAGTATTAGTGACAGTTGTAGTATTGACTGTGGATGTGAGAACATCGATAGATTCAAGATCTGATAACAAATGATCGATACATGTGTCTAAATCACCCTTTACCTAGATATGTTTAAATGAATAAACAAATGATTGGAGATTGATTAGTTATAAATAATGTAATGATTGAAATTATAAACCAGTAGCTAGTTTTGAGTGGTAGGAGTCTTGTGGTTAATTAACATGAGTTAAACAAATAATTGAATAGAATAACATGAACCCAAATTCCATTCTTCTCAAATTTGCCTAAGCCATATTTATAAAGCCCTTTCAGTTAGACTTATGAATCCGAAAGGAAATAGTTGTAAATTTTCATTTACTGTGGTCAATTGATCCTCACTTTACTACCTCATTCTTGTAATTTCTTCCCTCTTATTTTTGATTACACAACTTCTTTCGAATTTACAATTTCATTTTTAACTGACTGATCTCAAATCATCTTATTTCTGATTGTTATTAATGTGTACAGCGTTACTTCATTCATTGCATAATCAACTAATTATTTTATCTTTGTCTGATCATCCACAATCCTATCTCATATATTGTACTAACTTATAACACCTTACAGATGTCTGTGATTGCATTACGCTAGCATGATGATACATACTGTTAGAAGCACGTAAACTTGACGATAATTTTCAACTAAAAATATCATAGTTCATGAGTTGTTGATATGAGGACTTAACTAAATAAAATGAGTTGATGCTATTCTACTCAATTCTTTGTTCTTGCCCCCAAATGTCCTGGTATGGCCAAGAATGGGGTTGGGCTCTCCATCCCTCTCGAAATACTCTGACACGGCCACGCGTATATACTCTCTGCCAGGGAAGTCCTACTCACTGCCTTCACGTGGAGGGGGTGTTGTTTACGAAAATGAGAGGACGAAAAGCGAATATCCGGCGCTCTAACCGGATCCCAAACCAATGGTGCACATGGGCTCCAGTATCCTGAAGGAACAAATAGCGTATGAACCAATCGTTGATCACCGGCTACTATGGGACTGCATCTCCTTACGATGCTCCACTGTCTTGTGGATCAGATGTTCAGGTCAAAGGCTCGGGGTGTGGCCCCCTAAGAAAACCACCTGCTTCGGTTTGGGCACCCGGGCAGTATCACAGCCCTCACACAAATCAATTGAGATTTGTGTGGCGCATATGTATTTGGTGCCCTCTTGTACCAAGATTTACGTGTTCAAATAAAAAATAAATAAATAGTCTTCTAGATAATAAAAAGGGAACTAAGCGTAAAAGTTAAACAGTATGAAATAGACATAAATAAAATATGCTCTAGAAAACGAGTGTTTAAAAAGAACTCCTAAGCAATGTACGATGCAAAGATTAAGAGACAATTTTACAGTTTAGATCACTAACTAACCTCAGCTAGATAGCCATTAAAGACTAGGAAGCGCTATACAGCTATTTCATTCTAATATAAGACTCCTCAGCAGTGACTACACTCGAGCTCATCAGGGATTGAACACACGACCATCAGATACCGTAGCGAGGACTTAACAATTATAACTATTGAGTCGATATCCGACAGTTTTTTTATTTTTAGTTTCAACGAATCCATGATATTGCGCAATCATCTCCTAATCTCATTGGTAAGCAAATGGCTCAAATCTGACAAAGCTGAACTTCATTGGTCATGGATTCTCACTATAACTTTGGGAATAACTTGACGAAACTTGTCATAAAATTAGTATTAGAGTCGGGAGTTTGTGAAGTTTCTATTTTTACAGTCAATATCATGCGTCTAAAGGTTGAGTACTTTTAATAACAACTCACAATCTTTCCTTCGATCCCCCGCGGTTGGATCGTGGGTGAGCAACACAGAGTCCCATACTAGAGTGAAAGAACTACCTAGTGTTGGACATTTCCCGACGTTATATGACGACCAATATGATTGAAATATACATCTCAGTTTAGAAAGTATAAGCATCAATCACTTCTAATACACAAACTAAACTATTAACATCTTATTTAAAATAACTATTTAAAAAAAGAAGACATCCGTCATGTGTTATCTGAACAGTCACAAGCTTGAGTTAATTTGTTTTTACTGCTCCGTATTTAATTAAATACTACTCATCAATGGAGATTGTGATTTCCTTTTAAGTATAAATAATAAACGCGCTCATTTAGTAAATGATAATCTATAAGTTACTGACTTATAATTTGACCATCATACTAAAACACTCTCTTCCCTACTATTCACTAAGCATAATCCCTGAGATTTCAGTCTATTCCCAAAAATGCAAGCCTAGTTTATTGAGGACTGAGACTTAAACAATATCAGGATAAAGCAGTTGAAGAACTTAATTTATAATAAATAATTTGAATAATAAAGATAATTTCAATGATTGAAATCACGAGTCAATTGAGGCTAGATCACCGTGGAAAACCTGGGAGCACTGAACGGCCGCTTCATCCTATTGTGGGACAAATGTTTGGTTATAAAACAAGGTAGTAATTTTAAAGAATAAAAGATTGATTATAAAAATAAATTGTAATATCAACTAAGAATATTTTAAACTATAGTCAACTGAACAATTGGAATCGTTTATGAATTCACTTAATTTTGTTATACAGCTTAAAATCATTAAAATATAATGAGAAATTTCTTTCTTTTTGGTCAGCGGTTTTTTAGCGAGTTAGTTTCCTACGGAATGGGATCGCTAATCCCATGCCCAACCCGAGCTCGGGACCGACAGCAACTCTAGAAGAGCTACAGGAGGAGAGTTCTGGTGGGCGGCCTATACTCCACGAGGAGTAAATGGCGTAAGTAAGTAAATAAGTAGGTGAGTAATGAAAGATGGAGAAAATATTAAAGTTTAAAGTAAGAAATAAAAATAATTTCACACTTACACCAAACCAATCATTCCATAATTGCATATTATCTGAAGTATCTGAATTAAAATCTTGACAAACAAATGATGTGGATAATTTTACACTGGTAGATGATAATGATGAAGAAGTATTTGTTGTGACTGAGTGAGATTGATTATTATCCAATGAACAATTCACTATTTTATTATTGTCATTATTATTAGATGGTTGAATAGAAACAATCTCATAAGTATTAGTAGTTTCAGGCCAATTACAAGGATTAGTATTATCATTATATGATAATGGATTACGAGTTAAAATGCCAACTTCAGCATTAATACGTGTAGCTACTTGTTCAGCATTATTAAACAATGCAGATAAGAAACGCTACAATAAAATAATAAATTACAATAAAAAAATTAATGTGTGTGGGGAAAAAAATGATACTAATGCTGAATAAAATCGACAAAAATACATAAAAATTTGAAAACTAGTTTAGGATATTTTGACACGGATACAGAATGATTGATTGGATTTTGTCAATTTGTGAGACATATGATATAGACGAATTATCAATGTCAACCAACATTATGCAGCAGTGAGCTCTGTTTTACTGTGTGGTTGTGAAACATAATTTATGAAAGTAGATATGTGTGGGTTTCAGGTTTTTTTTTAATCATACATGTCTTTAAAGCATAACTTCTATTTCACGGCACGACCAAGTAAGGAATGTTGGTATTAGGCATAAGGTACTTGATGAAGATGAGAGATCAACTGATGAGGTTATATATTTTCATCGAATAAACTGTTGCGTGTCTAATCACAGCCTAACTCGATGAAAGGTGTTGACTAGTGAAGGGGTAAGTTGAAAGAAAGCTACGAACGACCAAACTAAAAAGTGGCATCAATTCAGGAAGTCATTAATTGCTAGACTGAACCAGGTTTTACAATTGAATGATCGACTGACATTTTACCGGTGAATACTCTCTCTCTCTCACTATATATATATATATATATATATATATATATATATATATATATGCGTTACTGATATTTCTAAAATAATTCTTAAGTTGGTATATGGAACTGTAAACTAGTGTGAATATGCAAGTGAACACCACCGACAGCTCTTCTAGTACTAGTGCCGGTCCCAAGTCAGGAGAAAAGGTTTGGTCATGAAGTTAGCGACCCCATCCAGTAGAAAGCAACCTTGTTAAAAGAACGTTAACCAGAATAAACCATTTTTAAACCCTGCCTTGGGAGTTGAAGGATCATCATTCAGGAGAATTATGACGCCTCACGATGAAAGCCGAGATTCTTCGAAAGTCATAAGACCGATTACTCTTATAACAACCACAGCAACACTTATCACAAGTACATGGAATGTTACCACAATGTGAGAGACAGGGAAGACCGGTAACTAAAATGTTCAGATCAGTGGAAGACGTGGGGACAAAGAGAGAAGCTGACATAGCTTCAGATCACCACCTGGTGGTTACAAAGATGAGACTGAAGATAAAGAAGCACTGGACAACCAGACAAACACCATTACTAAACTTCAATTCAGTCTTTTTTCGAAATACTGACAAACTCAGTCAATTCAACTCACTGGCACGCTCCGACCACCAGGCTTCTCGGTCCTTACGCAAGCTTTGCCCGATTTCATTACGTAACATCCTTCGTCTGTGGTCAAACTCACGGTCACCCGGAGTAGACCGAAGGGCTTCAATCAGTTGGATAAAGAAGACAAGCCGATCATTAAAACTCAAGATCACAGGGACAGATGGATAGAGCACTCTGAAGAACTCTTGAATAGGTCAGTCCCACCGAGCCTACAGAGAAGAAGGATACATCATCAAGACACCATAGAAAGATCTGAGAAAATGTGGAAACGGCTACAGAGGCATCACACAATTATCAGTACTACGAAACGTTTTCAACAGTGTTACTTAACCAAATGGAAGATTCAGCAGACGCCCAACTTCAAGATCAACTGGCCGGATTCCGTAAGGATCGGTCGTGTATAGACCAAATAGCGACACGCAGTCAGTCAGTAACAACGAAGAATTTCGTTGGTGCGTACATTAGTTCGAGTTGCCATACCACATTAGTACAGAGATGCAGTTGTCGATTAAAATCCCGAAGTCGTAGAGGTGGTAAGAGTATAAACAGAAATCGAAAAGATTAGGGTTTGAAGATGTTATTCAAAGAGTATAATCCAGTGAAATAAATTTGAAAAGAGAAAAAACGGACATGAAGAATTCAGAGGATAAGAATTAGGGAGAATACAAAGAGTGGATGCGACACTACGAATCGTCGCTGAGCAATCAATTGGATGGAACTAGTTACTATACATCGACTTGCTCGACTATGATAAAGCATTTAACAGTGAGTACAGGGGGACCTTATAGAACCTTTTACACTATGGTGTACCTCAGAAAATCGTCAACATAATACGGAATTCATATGACGGACTACACTGCAAAGTCGTGCATGGAGGATACCTCACAGATGCTTGATGGAGAAGTTCTGGAAGGTCGAAATCTTCACGTACCTGCGCAGCATCATCAGTGAACAACGAGGATCCGATGCAGATGTAAAGGCAATGATTGGCAAACAAGAAAAGCATTACCACAGTTGAAGAACATATACAACTCAAAACAACTGTCTGCAAGCCAACATCAAAGTCACAATCGTTAGTACGAATGTCAAGATAGTTCTACTGTATGGAGCTGAAAATTGAAGAACTACCACAACCATTATCAAAATGGTACAAGTATTTATAAACAATTGTCTACACAAAATACTCAATGGCCGTTGGCCGGATGCTATCAACAACAATCTTCTGTGGGAGAGAACGAGCCAGCTTCCATCTGAATAGGAAATCAGGAAAATAAGATGGAGGTGGATAGGATATAGAGTGTGGAAATCATTAAACCGCATCACAAGGCAAGCGCTAACTTGGAATTCTGAATGGAAACGGTAAAGAGGAAAACCAAGAAACACATTGAGACGGCAGTTGGAAACAGATATGAAAAGGATGAACAGTAACTGGAAAGAAGTGGAGAGGATTGCTTGAAAGAGTTCAATGGAGAATCTTGATAGGCCGCCTATACTCCTCAACGCGGGACAACAGATGGAGGAAAATATATAAGTGTATTTATTAAGAAAAAGTCAAACAAATTCAAAACCAGTTGTATAACATGAATATCATTCAAATCACCATTATTTGTTGAACTTATTTACCAGTTTTACAAACTAGTGTTCATGATTTCAAGTTACACTCTAAGTGTGAGGACTAATGATACTACCACTTAGTTGCCCAAACCGAAATAGTTGGAATGAACTACAAACCTAGGAATTAATGTTGAAAGCTGAAAGCCTTAACCACTGAGCTACAACTCGCCTCCAAACAATCATTACAACTCCCATTTTCAACCAGTAACTCACCTCCATATCCAATTCTTCTTCATAACTGTTAGTTAAACTAAATATTGTACTTCCGACGCCAGATCCAGGTGATAACTGACGTGGTGGTTGATTACTGAGTGATAAAAAAACATAAATAATTACAGAAATATATAAAATCATAATATCTGGAAATGTCAGTAGGACTATAATTTTTGAACGAATCAATCAGGTTTAAGCTAAATTAAATGTATCCATATGATTAAATAGAATTTTAATATTTATATAGTTGGTGTCAGCTTGTGATGAAGACTTAAACTGTAATTTCTAACCCTAACTGTTGACTCTAAAACCCTAATTTCTCAAACTGGTTTATAATAGTCAATCGACCCCAACACAGTTGAATATTCTCAAGATCACTTTAGCGTTGCTCAAAGGCCGTCAATAAATTATAGTCTCACCAAAATATCCACAAGATTTTTCTAAAAATAAAGTTCCTTGGAAAATTAAAGGTAAAAGTACACTTTGCTGACGGCCTTGAATGAACCAATTCGAACCAAGATGGTGTATCACGGATTTTCACGCGAAATTAAAAGTTCAGTGCAAGATAGGTCGTATGTTGTTACTAACTAAGCGGAAATCAGCAATACTTCGTTCCTAAAATCCTTGAAATTAATTACAAAAAATATCTACCACCCAACTAAACAATGAATATAACATGGTGCTTAAGATAGACTGTCAGAAACACCTATTACCGATGCAGATTCTATGATCCAGCACTTGATGCAAAACAATTGGCAACTAAGGGGGTTTATGTAACTGTATAGTATTCTTCCAACCTAACTTCTGACCCTGATGTCGATTGATGACAAAAACCCTACGGGGTTACGGACCCTTAGTCACAACACTAGCCCAATTCATAGTATGTAAACTTAACCCTTTTTCCTTTGCCACCATATATAAATCAATATGTATGGGTTAATTATTTATATCGAAACCATTATTCTACTGTAATTTTACTACTTTTTCTAATTAATTGTTTCATAACTAAGCAATGTTTTCTGATTAACTGATAAGATGCTCGGGATCGTTAGTATAGTATATTTTTACTAAATCAGATTCAGCAGCCAGCCAAAATCAGAGCGCTTACTTACTTACTTTACTTACGCCTGTTACTCCCAATGGAGCATAGGCCGCCGACCAGCATTCTCCAACCCACTCTGTCCTGGGCCTTCTTTTCAAGTTCCATCCAATTCTTGTTCATTTTTCTCATATCTATCTCCATTTCTCGGCGTAATGTATTCTTTGGTCTTCCTCTCTTCCTTCGACCTTGAGGGTTCCATATGAGGGCTTGTCTTGTGACGCAGTTCGGTGCTTTCCTCAATGTGTGTCCTATCCACTTCCAGCGCTTCTTCCTGATTTCTTCCTCCACTGGGATCTGATTTGTTCTCTCCCACAGTAGGTTGTTGCTTATAGTGTCCGGCCAGCGGATCTGAAGTATTTTGCGTAGACAACTGTTAATAAACACCTGTATCTTTTGGACGATGGATTTCGTAGTTCTCCAGGTTTCCGCACCATACAGTAGAACTGTCTTGACATTTGTATTGAAAATTCTGACTTTGATGTTGGTTGCTAATTGTTTTGAGTCCCAGATATTCTTCAGTTGTAGATATGCTGCTCTTGCTTTGCCAATCCGTGCCTTCACATCTGCATCAGATCCACCGTGTTCATCGATGATACTGCCCAAATATGTAAAGGTTTTTACATCTTCCAAATCTTCTCCGTCAATTGTGATTGGATTGGTACATGTTGTGTTGTATCGAAGAATCTTGCTTTTCCCTTTGTGTATATTGAGACCTATTGCTGCTGAGGCTGCAGCTACACTGGTTGTCTTCTCCTGCATTTGTTGTTGTGTGTGCGATAGAAGAGCCAGATCATCTGCGAAGTCTAGATCATCCAACTGCATCCTAGCTATCCACTGTATCCCGTGCTTCCCTTCAGATGTTGATGTCTTCATGATCCAGTCGATCACCAGGAGAAAGAGAAAGGGTGAGAGTAAGCAACCTTGCCTGACACCGGTCTTTACTTCGAACGACTTTGTCAACTGTCCTCCATGAACGATCTTGCAGTTTAATCCATCATAGGAATTCTGTATGATATTGACTATCTTCTCAGGCACGCCGTAGTGTCGAAGAAGCTTCCATAGGGTTGTTCTGTCCACGCTATCAAATGCTTTTTCGTAGTCGATGAAGTTGATATAGAGTGATGAATTCCATTCAATTGATTGTTCCACAATGATCCGTAGAGTTGCGATTTGGTCTGTGCACGATCTATCCTTACGGAATCCTGCCTGTTGGTCTCGAAGTTGGGCGTCTACGGAGTCCTTCATCCTGTTTAACAATACCCTGTTGAAGACTTTTCCCGGTATTGAAAGAAGAGTGATTCCCCTGTAGTTGTCACAGTTGCTGAGATCGCCTTTCTTTGGTATTTTGACTAGAAGTCCTTCTTTCCAGTCTTTTGGTACCTGTTCCTCATCCCAGATCTTTCTGAAGAGAGTTTGGAGTATCCTTGCAGTTGACGCTACGTCTGCTTTCAGTGCCTCTGCTGGAATGCTGTCTAGTCCTGCTGCTTTGCCACTCTTGATTTGTCTGATAGCCATGCTGATTTCTTCAATTGTCGGTGCGCCAACATCAATTGGGAGGTCCGTGAGTGCTGCTTCGATGTTGGGTGGGTTCAGTGGGGCTGGTCGATTCAAGAGTTCTTTGAAGTGTTCTACCCACCTGTTTCGTTGTTCTTCAATGTTGGTGATTATCTTGCCTTCCTTGCTTTTCACTGGTCGTTCTGGTTTACGGTGATTTCCGGAGAGTTTCTTTGAAAATCAGAGCGCATTGTGATCAAAAAGACAATGGTCTTTCCATGTGCAATTTCAAAGGCTATACCTAATTAAGATCAATTATTAACGTAAAATATGAAAATCCAATAATCTACACAAACTTCTTTACTAACACTATTTTATACATATAGGTGTGAAATATCATCTTTTACTCAAGACGAGTAAACATTGGGTTATCTTACCGTCTTCGTCTAGTTGAAACAAGATCAGTACTTTTTGCATTATTCAGATTATCTTCACATGTTATTACAGGATGAATCACCATATCTGTAACTAACGTCTCTGATGATGCCGGTGGGGGTAGCAACGAAAACACCGAAAATATTGAACCATTATCAGAAATCTGTTGATGATCGCTTATATCACTTGACTGAGCATTAAGACATATTTGTTGTGGAGGAATATTTTCGTTTTGGTTGGTCACAACTACAGATTGAACAGTGGCATCATTCATGGTTTCTTCTGATGTTGTAAATATAGGCGATTGTTGAAATATCACAGAATTACAAGATGTTGACAGGGATAGAACATCACTATTACCGTTATTCGTAACAGTAGTAGTAGGTAATGTCTCAGATATACGTTTTGTCTTGTTTTGTAAGCGAACCATAGATTGCATAGGATTAGCATTAGATTTTGATGCAACTATGTTAGACTGTGATGTTTGGTGAGATGAGGAACTTGGAAAGCTACTGCTACACAGATCAAAATTGAATACATTTGTTCTGTTAGCTGCTAAAGGTTGTCTATATATTCGTAACACTGGTCGACTGGCTCTTAAACCAGTTGAATTATTATCTAGTGAACACACAGTACCAGCACCTACCCCACTAGTTGAGTTCGAACCTGAAGTTATGGAAAGATCAGAGTAACGATGAAGGATAAACTAAAAGATATAAGAATAATCAGAAAATCCTAACCATTTATGACTTGATTATTACTACTATGACCATCCTGGAAAACTAGCTTCGGTTGCTCGATTATATTTTGTAACTGTCGTTTCTGTGATTTTCACATCGTGCATCACTCGCCTACCCTGAGACTGGATGGAAAGATGAGATAATCAGTTTATGACAGCGCTAGTTCGTAAAAGAAAGTTGTGTGAGACTGACACCAGATAGTCCATTACGAATACCCAGTTGAAGTACTAGCGATGGTACAACTCAGTGGCTTGAGAAGTCATAAGATACGGGTCGAAATAGAAGTCGGTGGCGATACTGCTATAGTTTCAAGTTACATTAAAAAAACGGAACTCTCTTAAGTGAGTTGCATTATAATTTCAGGTTTATATGGTACATAAACCACTTATACTCTATACAAATTTTGCAAAAGAAACCTGTCACATCAAATAATAGCTCCATTTTAGTCTAATGATCCATCTCAAAGTGTGGATTATCTCGTACTGAACAGTTGTTGTTGAGTTTGGAAAACAACACTCTCCAAAAAACAAAAGTGGTGCACCTGGACAGCACGAACCAATTCATAGTTATTCATCGTCAAGTCACTACGTTTTTATTAAGCGAGATCTCATATTCTGATCGCATTCTAAAGCATGTTTTTAATACAGAATATGACTCGGATAATAATAAGAATAGGAATAATAATAATAATAATAATAATAATGTTAAGTGACTCAGACAAGAACGTAGTGTCACCAAAAAAGTACATAGACCTATCGAACATCTAATGATCGATAGAGATTAGTTTCGAAGCATAAGTGATCCACAGCATCAATACATAGAATATGATGATGATTTAAAGTACTCACTTATTATATTAGGTAATGAAGCTATTGTTACATTTGGTTTCACGGTAGCAAGTGGAGGTCGAACTGTAGTGGATTTATCAGCAGGTATTATTTTAGGCGGTACATAGGATTTTCCTAAAGGCATCCAAGCAGGATGAATAGGACGAAATGATTTCGGTCGTAAATTTGATGAACAAGCTTCAGGAAATGACTGCAAAAATTGTGCTATGGAAGCATTTAGATTCCCCAGTTGCCACGGAAGATTGGCCTTTTTTAAATGAGGGATGACTGAAATGTAAGGTGTAATATGCATGTGAGAAGTAAAATACATTGATGTTTTCATTCGAGAGCAAACCGATCTTACATAAATGCGTACCACAAAGGTTAGTTTGTTACACTCTGAACTACATAAGTATTGAGGGGGTGAACGACAATATCTGTTGGTTAAAAAAAGATTGGACGAGCATGAGAGAATGATCCCTTTTATACTAATAAACAAAGCCTAATGATGTTACTTATCAACGAAAATACTCCATTTAACCAGATTTTATAAACTTTTCAGTGAACTAATCACAATATTTTCTTTGATTAGATTAAACTAGAGCTTTTAGATATCTTAGTATACAAATCTTCATTTGTAATAACATGATGCAATAATTTTGGCACTCAGATTCAATCTGTTAAATAGCAACTTTAAACCCAAGAAAGATATATAGACTAGTAAATTTAATTAGCACTTTTACTAATTGCACAAAATATAGTTCATATCGTGAAACACTATTTCAGTAGCCACAGAAGTTAGAGATTTATGGAAACTCAGTAATGTAAATGACTTCAGAGAAGCTTAAATTCTGGTGTAGTAAAACCCGCTACAGCGTCAATATACTAGAGAATAGTAAGATGGTAGCTTAGTAAACTTCGGGTTCGAACCCCACTTCGACGTCGACTTAGGTAACCGGGTAATATAATTAGCTTTGATGTCTATAGTATGATTCATGTATGTGCCTGATGACTTAATTAGGTTGGAAACTATAAATTATTTTATGGAGAAAATCTAAACGAGTTTGAAATGGTACATGATACACTATAAACGTACTTCCTAAACCTTTTATTTTAATACAGACTGCATTCCCTTGCATAGTCTTTGTTATAGTTTGTATGTATAATAACGAACTACCTACAAACGTGAAGCACTGACTTGACGCCTAAATTAATGAGGTTTTACCAAATACATAACACATTTAAACCTCACTGCATCTACTTGTTTGACAGCTGAACAAAAATATACTCTCTTGAAATATATCTTGTTGTGCATGTATGTTGAAAGATGAAGCGTTTCTTACCAACTGATTTTGAGCCATGCTTCACCTGAAGCTGGAAGACAGCGAAAAATACGGATTGAGAAGTATTATACTTGCAGTTCTCATCAGTAGCTTAATGTAAATAACCCTAATCGAACTCAGAGACATCAAATGTACTCACGAACAATCATGACTATGCTGTCTGCCTCAACCCACAAAGCTCGAATTAGCACTCAACTCGCAGGATTGCGGAGTAATTATCACATGCGCCACTGCCTTTTTGGACTTATTTTTTATGCTAAGAAACAATGTAGTTTTAAAAAATGTAATATTAGATAACTTTAACAAGAGAATACTTACGATTTTAATCTACCTGTCAAATAACTAGAAAAAATGTAGCATGAACGAATACACAGGCTGACACACTTCATCTGAAATCTGTTGGCTAATGACAACCTTAGAGCTGTCACACCTACTCTTACATTAATTAGAATTTAAGTTAATATTCATATGAATAAACATTATCATTGTGGATCACACAAAATGTTGACTTACCCTCATTCACAATATGAATGTAATCATGAATAATATCCAACAGAGTTAGTTCTCTGAAATACAAAGGTATCTCATTCACTGATGCATAGTGATGACGAAACTCAGACAAGTGAACGTTTTCTCGAAGAAAAGCACCAGCAGCCACAACGCAATTGCTATCTCGCAAAAATCCTACGAAATAAACCCTTAAAAATGTTGCTAACCGAGGACAAGTCCAGATATTTCAGAGGGAAGCAAATTAAAATAGTCTGTCATTCTAAAAAGTACCGTCTGCGTTCAAAATGGTTCAAGTACTTCTGGATGGAATAAAAGAAGCTTACGAACAATCGGCTTCGTAGCTAGTAGCAGCGGATCACCGATACCTCTAGCCAATAACCTAGGTATATTAACAATAAAAATAATCAGTAACTCATAGTTAGATACTGTCCTTCGTCCTTAAGAATATGTCAAGTTTTGTCTTAAACGACTCTTGTGGATTCGCTCAGACTAGCTCAGTTGGCAGCGAATTCCAGCATTTTACCACTCTTAAGAAGTAGAAGGTGTGTCTTCAGTCCATTCTATTGTGTTGCGTCTCTGGGTGTTACCCCTATGCTTTGTGTTGGGACTAAGCATAAGTAAGTGTTTAAGGGAATGCCCGAAAGTGTTTAGGATTATATAAGTCATTAATAAGTCAACTCTAGGACGCCCGCACTCTGACGGGTAAAGGTCCAAGTCATTACTGTAATCAGTATCTAACAGTGATATGGCGTTCAAAGATTAGACCTAACAGTCAGGTCTTAATTGATTAGATAATGAACGACCAGATATCTGGTTTATCCAAATCATTTGTGGTTTTGGATTATATTCACCTCGCACTTTTGTTCTGTGGATCAACATGTCATTTGATTGCATCCATTGATTAGCAATCTGTTTATCAACAAACAAAATCGCTCATCTTTTGATGTTAAGAATTCATATGGGTTGCATCAATTGATTCTACACGTCTGTTGATAAACCATGTTTTATAGGTAGATAATAGACTTATTCTAAGGCCAAGAGGTTGATAAAACTAACCTTTATAATGTTACCAAACATTCGTTCCTATGATCATGTATTTTTGTTGTTCTGTAAGCTGATCAATACATTTCAAAAGATTTTTCTATTTTAGTGCACAGTTTATTACCGTCCTAAGCTGCTGATCCGTTCGTAGATATAGAGTCTAATTATATCCAGACGCGTAGATCTAGAAATATACAGTTTGAGAAAAATCCTGGTGACTGTAAAAATCCTGAACAACCCCCACAACAAGGAAAAACAAACAAATTTTTACCGTCTATTTTGCGTTAACCAATGTTAGCATTCAAGGATAGGTTACACTGATTATTTTCATTTTAATAACAATTTTGCCAACCTTTTATGTAAACACGGGTTTCATCAAGTGTTTATAGAAGCCGGAGATAATGCCGGACATGCACGGTTAGTTTTATTTGCACTTATATCTTTCCTCATAGTGCCTGTGTTATGGCTTTGGTTTCTAACCCAACGATCTTTAGAGCTAAATATTCTACATTTCTATGCATCTTTTGTCGACTATTTTTTGTGAGGAATTTATCGCGTATTGCCGTCTTCCAAACTACCGAATTAGAGAGAGCTTAACTGTTATACTACCAACGGCAATAATGTGCAAAACCAAACCCAATGTTGAATCTAACAGTCTGCTTCTGTCTCGTAAGCTCATTATTGTTGCAAACTGAATGACATTGCTGAATATTTATCCATTCATACTTCCTGAGTAATCATTTTACTTGCTTCTTGTGATCATTTTCTTTCTATCACTATTTTATGCTAAAGATTTCAAATTTTCTCGCGGCAAATAATCAGTTTTTAGTCAGGCACTGTGATAAATGGTGTTTTCAGAATCACTAAGACAAAATATGCCTTCGAATTCCAAGACATACAAACCTACAAAAAATTGTCAAGATCGATAGGACTTATTCATTGAAGCCATTAAACTATCCTTCACTGAACAATACAGAATAGCACCGAAATACTGAAACATCGGTAGCAAAGAAATCAGTCGCCGTGAACTAGTTGGTCACAAAGGCTATACTACCACGTACCTGCAGTACTGTTCTGTAGAAGGCAAATAACCAATGATGTTGATTTTGGAAGCCTACTCGAGATATTCTGCAATAGCGTGATCTCCTAGCTCACATTAAAGCTACAGCCCGGTTGATGCGTAACATGGACCAACTGTACTTCATACACAGTTATTAAGGCAACTTCGATGATCGTACATTAATTATGTAGATAAAGGAAATATCTGTGAAATTAGGTACAAGAAACAGCAAGACTGCAGTGTTAAGGAATAAAAGCCACACGATCCTTCAAGCCGAACATAAGATAGCTGAAAAACTTCACATTCAATATCTTACACGGAAAGTCACAAATAAAAGACACAGGAACAGGTTGATCTGTTTGGTATGGCTCAGCCTTGCAGGCGTGGTCATTCTGAGTAACTGATTCTTTTCAACATTAAATATATCTTACCCCAGTCAAAATGTGCTCTTCGGAAATGTTAATCATCACGTTGTTGATTGTCACGTAGGGTGAGTCAGTACGAGCAGTGATGTGATTTCCGCGTGAGACCTTATAGATTGGGTAGTAAGATTATGACAAATCTTCATTTTTAGGACTAGGTCGACTATTTTGGTAGTAAGGATAAATGTGCTGATACCGAACTAAACTATATCTCTACAAGACCACTGACGCACGCTCCTCTTCACGGTATCCAACTGATTGATACGCGTTGGTCAATAACAGAGTGTAACGTGGTTCTGAGAAATGATGCGGAGTTAATCGTAAGTACTTACTAAAGTATTCAAGCTTGAGTTTTCGTTTTGTATACATCACATACCATTTTTAAAGCTCCCTTGACCAGTCGTCACGGCTTGTTGGGGATGTATCCGATCTCACTGTTCTTAGGAGTTTGTTTAGGACAGGAACATAGAGAACTGCACCTGGCTGACTTGAAGCCGAACTTCAGTTGTTGCACGATGCATCGTACATCATTCATTTGGGGTACCCCTCTCCGTTATTCCATCTGCATTGTACACTGTGTTCAAACATTGTTGGATATAGAATGGGGTAGCTTGTGTTCATTCTCAAATCTGCTTTACTGCATCCAATCTTGTTGAGTCTGTGTGTTACTCAGTGGGACTGTCTGATTGGAGCTATCCACAGAAAGTTGATCGCTAGTACTTAATGAGACAACAGTTTGCCAGTGAAATCAACCTTCCATATTCGTTTACAAACACCCATATTATTACCAGAGATTTTAATCTTCCTAAAGTTAACTATGCCAGACATAAGCAGGGAATGATAAATAAGATGAAGCTCAGCTTTCAACCTCATTGAACAAGTAGGATTATTCGAAAATATGAAGTCATAAACGTGTTGAGGAAGGAGTCAGATGATATCAGACCTATGTTACACATTCACAAATGATAATCTCCCGAATGACAATGTCATGATCCTGACTCTGCTGCGGAAAAGTGTCAGATCTACCTGATTGACATGCTTGGCCTTAGTTCCGCCATTCAGTCACATTTCGACAGTCCAAATCCAATGTTTTCCAGTTATAAGGTCCCGACGACCCGATGAATATTGGCAGGAATGCCGTAGAATTCCAAAGAGAACAGTACGTATGAACAACTTCACCATCATAAACAATCCAAACCTGCGAGAGCTTCACCCCAAATCCGTCAGGAGCCTTAGAAATTACCTCGAGCACAGAGCTACTAAACCAGAATCCGCATCATCCAAACAAGGATACGTTGATTAGCATTGACACGACTTACTCTGCAACACTGATGGAAACGCATTCGATCTTAGCGACATAACCCAGTATATCGTTCTCATGTTTGCCAAGACAAAGAGCACTTCCAGACTATTAAATAACGACAACACTAATTTTCAGGGATGGCCAAATCCGTGAACCTTTAAGCTACCTGCCGTCAGCATTTCTTTCAGTAGTTTTAACGTTAGTGGATCCTCTAAAATATGACACCCCACGTGATCACTTGTTGCCTACAACATGGTTTCAGAAAGTACCAATACCGCCTCACAAAATCACTAATTAAAGTGGATAGATGGAATACCGCTGTTGATCACAGGAGGACAGTGTTTGTGCCATATTTCAGTTTATTCAAGTAAACAGAGACATGAAATAAGAAAGAGTGGTCCAGCAAAGAGTACTCTTTTCGACGAACTCATTTTCAAAATTGCACAACCACAAATGTATACTCGATTGACGATATGATAATCATTGCGATAATAGTGATAGCAAAATTCTGTTAAACATTTCAAGAGAAAGAAGAACAAACCGAGGTACTAGAACATTATTTTTTATCAGAGAAAATAATAATATTTTAATTGTTAAAGGCTTCAATATTGATCACGAAGATGGATAAAAAAATTATAAATGGGAAAGGAAAACTCAGCTTGGTGAGATAGAACCCAAGCTCCCAATTTTGGGGAAAATTTTGCCTACTTGCGGAAACGGCACATAAACATAAAATTTCGCCAGACTTGCAGAAATTTCCCAGAATTTCCCCTGACTTTGGGGTTTTTCCCTAAACCAAGGAAGCACTGGACGGCCGTTACGTCCTAGTATGGGACTCCTCAGCAGTGCGCATCCACGGTCCCGCTCCTCGCGATATTCGAACCCAGGACCTGTCAGTCTCGCGTCAACTAGACCACTGAGCCGGCATCCAGCGGTGTTAATGTCTAACTTCAACCAATCCACAAAGTTGCACTACCGTACACCATTGTCTTCAGCGAGTTGATATCTCACAACAGTTTACGCCTTGCCAAAGAAACTTCACGTTAATCGATTTATGGGTTTTATTAAAATACTGATTTTTGACACATTGAGATTTTATTATAGTTAATAAAATTAAAAATTAATCATTTATGCGATGTTTTTCATTGCTTTTTTACTGTAACAGGTTACGCAGAAGTTGAACTACCATTCGGTATGTTCTAAAAAAATTAAAAAATACTTTTTCGTTGATAATCACATGTGAAGATATGTGAAACGTCGATGACGTACCAACAATATGACAATGCTGTTAATAATGCGAACAAAGAATTTACGGTTACGTGAGATTCAACATTTAAATGTTGACTCTGAAACTAAATATAATCTGCAGGATTGTAGAAACAGAAATATACTAGCTGTGGTTGAAAGGTCTATAGAGAAGGCAGAAGGGGGTATGGATAGCTGTGCAGGCGGAAGAGCATTACGAAGAA